TTTGTTTCTTATTTCTTGTTTTCTTTTGGTAGTATATTATTCATAAATGATTAATGAGAAATTTGATGACATTTTATAATATAATATTGCTGTAATATGGTGTGATTAACGCTATTTTTTTTTCTTATAATTGATTTGTAATAATTGAATAACGCACAATCATCATGCCTTCATTTCCTAATCAGAAAGAAAAAAAATTCGTATTCTATGTGATAGTAGGACCTTCTTTTAATCAATCGGTGCATATTAAATGCAAAAATGAATAATTACTGTTATCTTGTAGTCTTCACTAAATATTGTATTGACTATTTTTAATTTTTTAAACTTATAATTCATAAAAACTGAAATATATATAGTGCAAATGCATGAAAGAAAACTAGTTTTTCTTTTTGCTACATAAACAAAACTAAGATAATATATCTTCTGTTGCCAAAATTGGTAAAGTAACACGCGCGTGTCTAAGTTTTCTCTTGGTGATGAAAGAAATGAGAGAAAAACTATTAAAATAACAATATTTATTTGCTCTCTCTCTCTCTCTCTATATATATATTTATGTTTTTATTTTGTAAGAAAAAAGAGATAAAATTTTCTTAAATTTACCTCTAATTATTTGTGCAAAAAAGTACATTCAATTAAATGTCCGAAGGACAAGTTTTAATAGTAACTGCAGTGTTTCTTTTGTTTGATATATTTCTTAGCATGTATAATAAAAGTTAAAACATTTAAAAACAACTTTAGAATATTAAAAGACCTCGTGCCAATGAATCTCTGAATTTATTATGAATCCGTCAACATAAATCAGCTTGCACTAAAAAGACAAATGCCAATGAAATCAAGCCGATATAAGTGTGTAGACATGTGAGAATGTGACTTTGTAAGCACAAATAAAAAAAAGAAAGAAAGAAAAGTTATTTTGATTTAAAAAAAAGAGGGAAAGAAAAAAAGAAAAGTTCTTGACCAATGCATCGGCCGCCAGTAGTTATAATGTATAAAATAAATTGATATCAGTTGGATTCCATAAAGAATTTTGTCCATTTTGTTTTGCGTTGTTTCTTTGCGAAAGAATAATGATTATGAACATAAAAAATTGAAATAAATTATTTTAGGGCATATTTGGATTTTGCTTTCAAAAATAGTTTTTTGACTTTAAAAAAATAAAAAAATCATTTAGATAAGTGTTTTGATTTTAATTATTTTCAAAACTGTTTTTGTCTTATTTTTCTCGTTCTTAAAATATGTTATATTTAATTATAAAAAATTATAATTTTAATTTTTTTATTGCTTACAGGTATTCTCTTATTAAATAAAATTTTATTTGAGACATAATATTAAATGTGGGCACCTTTTCTGATAAGATTTAAACTTTGATTTATCATATTGTAAAGGACTAACTTTTTCCTCTAGACTCATTAACACAATTAAACTTTTTTAAAATTAAAATGAATCAACAGATTGCCTTTCTCTTTTGGTTTTTTTTTTTTAAAACAATTCTAAGAACTTATTGCAAAATAATTTTTTTAAAAAAAATGGGAACGCAAGCAAAGAGTCCCTAAGTTTGTAAGATTCAATAATGAAATTTTTTATCGACTGATTTTTTCTTAACTTTTTATTATTATGCACAAATATTCTTATGTATATCAAAAATAATCTTGTTCAAGGTGTACATTAGTTGATTTTACACATGAATCCCAATTACTTGTGGCTTTACATATAAACGAAATATATACTTTCAGGACAAAAAAACGAAAGATACTTAATAAATAATTAAATAAGTTGTTGAAAATTTATTGAAGTGCACAAAAATAGTGTATTCTAGGAGCCATTTATGATTATATAAAAAATAATAATTTCACAAGTAAAATTGATTAACTTATATTTTTTAAAAAAAAGAATACTATCACTGCTAGAAAAAAATGAAATTATTGACGAACAAATTCATCACTGAATTAGTGATAAAAAATATCTATCACTAATTAATAAACTTCTATTATTAATTTATTTTATAATTAATTTTTTTTGCAGTTTCAATTATTACCATGTCACCTCACAACTACACATCACCTACCATCTATCATGTCACCGCCATGTCAACCATCTATTTTAATTTTTCATTAAATATGATGTTCCCTCATCTCAAATCCAACATCTCTCTATTGTCAAATATGCTTTTTGTATGTTGAGCTGTGGTAACATTTCATTTTTAATATATAAAACTTAGTATATACATTACTTAATTGAACACATATATCTAACTTAAATATATTTTGTATATATTTAATATAGTATTATTTAAATATGTTGATAATAAATATTACCATATACACACATTAACACATATAAGTATATAATTCAATATTTATTATTAGTTAATAGATACATTATTTAATATCAATTAATGTATATTATGAAAATAAATATTTGTGTATATCGTATTATATTATCCATATTATAATTAAAATATTTTCATATGATAAAATTTGTACTCTATATTTAAATTTACATAATAAAATAAAAAATTATTTTTATTTTTATATCATTTTATATTATTTATTTTACTTATAAAAAGAGAAAATCATTCATGTAATTATTTAATTTTGTAATTTTGAAGAGTTTTTTCATGTGGACCTCTCTATGTACATTAAAAATTTTTTATTTTATAAAATATTTAAGCTCATTTTACTAATTCTCTTAATTAAAAATATTTGGTACTAATATAAATATTTAGTGATGAAAATTAGTGACAAATTTAAATCGGTCATTAAATTTATAAAGTTTGATAAAATTCTATATCTGTCACTAATTTATAATTAGTGACAGATTTCAATTCGTTATAAAAATTTTATCATTAATATCTATAATTAGTAATGGATTGGATATTCTTCACTAAATGTCTGTTAATAATTTTAATTTTTTTCAATAGTATATTGAAGATAATAAATAATATATGTGATTGATGGAAAAGAATAAGGGAATCCCACTTCATATGAACAATAGCATAACAAGTTTCTATAAACTTTTTAGAGTAATTTACATTTATTTTAAGGCCATTTAAGACAATTTTGAAACTTATTGTATTGGATATAATTATTATGAACTTAATATTTAGAATTACAACAACAACAATAAAGGAGGAAATGGAATCCTACAAGGAGGAAATGTATGTAATATAAGCTATAATTAATCTACGCATGTTTCACCCTCCTTTTTCTCTCAAACTTGGAAAAACACTCAAGTTCCTTACTTTACCATATAAAGTCCTTCTTCATAATATATTATTACATTGCACCAAGAAAAAGAAAAGACATTATAATATAGGTCTGTGACATCATATGCTATTTTTTTTTTTTTTAAGTATGGATGTGTGTGAATGATTTAACATAAAGGAGGCAACTATTCGAGAATGTGAAAATAGAGAGAATTTCACACCAAGGAACAATGAAAAGTGGGAATTAGACGTTGGAGGTTTGGCTAAAAATTATAATGGGAGAAGGTTTGGTGGTACAATGCCTGATGGGTCCTTTTGTACCTCTGCTGTGACCCATTCCTTCATTAAAGTCCTCCTTGGATCCATCATCTCTCCTCCCCCACCAATTTTTCTCTCTTTCACTTCTTTTTTGGCAAAGATAGAGAAAAGAAAATAAATAAATAAAAAATAAAGAAATTTGTGTGTGCACTCTTTTGAGCCTGAAAGAGAAGAATGTCTAATTCAGACGCAATTCCAATGTTTTATTTTCATTTTTTTTTTAAAAATTAATCATTCAATTTCTATAATTTTCACTTAATTATAACTTAGTCCATCAAACTTAACACATTTAACTTATCTATCTTTCAAGCTTTAACAGTTTGATTAGTTGTCCCAAACATTTAAAAAGAATCAATTTTTTCAAGGACCCACTTGTAATTGAACCATAAAGTAGAAGGACCAATAGATTAAATGACCAAAACTTGATAGATTAAATTGTATTGAATTAAATCTCAAATATGGAATTGTAAATCAGTCAAAACTATAAAGATTACAGGTTCGTTTGATTTTGTTCTATTTTTCGTTTTTAAAAATTATTTTGTAAATTAATTTTTTACAAATATTTTCCAAAACAAAATAAATAAAAATCTGCTAGATTATCTTACTTAGGAAACAATATTAGAATTAAAAAGGGACTGATAGTGCTGATCACTGAGGTCAATGATAACAGTCTATGATAGTAATTGGCTATAGTAAAGTTAATTTATCATAATCAAATGTAGTATATTTAAAAAAATAAAAATAGCTATGAGATGTTTTATTTTTTTTAAAAAAATAAAAAATAAAAAGGTTCTCGAAACATTAAAATATAAAATACTTACCAAACAATTTTTTAAATTTTTTATTTTTAAAAATAGGAAATAATTTTTTAAAACATAAATCAAACAGGTACTAAAATGATTATTTTTTCCTTTAACTTTTAGGATAGATTTATGTGATTTTAGTAAAATTAAAAGAAAATTTTTAATTCATTCTTAAAAATCAATCTTGATTAATCAAGACATATCTTGCCAATGTCTCAAGGTTGAGTGAGTATTAAAAAAGTTAAGCACTACCCACAGCCCCACGTTGGATTTAAGATAAATGTAACTATTCCAAAATTCTCAGATGTACTAATGATTAACTCGTACATTAAATAATTAATTTCTTTGAAGAACTAACAGACCCTAGTTCATATACGTCTCTTAGAGAGAGAGAGAGAGAGAGAGAGAGAGATAAAATAAATTACTAGTATTTGGGTAAAACTTGCCAGACAGTCTGTGAAAGCATATTTTAATGGGAGGTAAAATGCACTATTGATATGAATATCATTTTCATATTTACAATCTTATTTTTAAAGATTTAGATGATAATAATAAATAAATATTCATGATTAATTAAATCGTGAAAGATCCAATACCGTATGGTTGGGGATTTTCACTACATAAACCGACGCTCCGCCTGTGTTTCGTCTCATTCTTCTCCAGTTCTCGTTCTCACTTTCTCTCCCTATCCTATCCTCCTCTGTTTCTCCAATATTCTCTTTTCTTCCCAATGACCAACCAAGCCTCTTCCCCTGAAACTGAAACTACCAGCCCTAGCGACTCCTCTTCTTCTTGTTCTTCTTCTTCTTTCCCATCTTCTTCATCTGAATTATCAAACCCTACTTCCGATTCTCAGACCCAGAAAAGTCAATCTCAGAGCCAACAAGAACGGAGCACTAGCAGACCCAAGAGAGCCAGAGACCCTTCTAGCAAGCATCCATCGTACCATGGCGTCCGAATGCGAAACTGGGGCAAATGGGTCTCTGAAATTCGCGAGCCTCGCAAGAAATCACGAATCTGGCTTGGCACTTTCGCCACGCCGGCAATGGCTGCTCGAGCCCATGACGTCGCCGCTCTGAGCATCAAGGGTGAATCCGCCGTCCTCAACTTCCCTCACTTAGCTTCTCTGCTTCCCAGACCTGTCACGCTCGCCCCACGTGACATCCAATTCGCCGCCGCCGAAGCAGCTGCCATGGTGAAATTCGACCCTGCTCAGTCGCCGTCTTCTTCACCATCATCGGAAGAAGCAGAGTCTTCAGAGCTGAGTGAGATTGTGGAGTTGCCCAACGTTGAGGAGAGCTTTGAATCGGTGGAGTCGTCGAGGAGTCACGAGTTTGTGTGGGTTGAGTCGATGGATTGTTGGGTGTACGATCCTCCATTAATGGAATTAGAGGAAGAGGGTTTCTTTGACCAGTTTTATGGAGGAGAAAGCTTTGAGATATCAATTTGGGATTATTAATGGCGGATTTTGACCCTGTTCTGTTCTGTCTTCTTCCCCAGATAATTAGCTGCATGTCGTGAGAATATATTGCAGTAATCTGCTTCACGTTTGCGCCGAACAATTCTCAAATGTCAAATACGAAACATTTATCAATGGAGGGTGGTGAGCATTATTGTTGTCTGTGTACATTGAAGTTTCTTCTTCTTCGTCTTCTTCAACCACCTCCTCTTGCGTGGTTTGCTTTGCAAAAGTAGAAAATCCAGAGAAATGTGAGTGACTAGACTGAGTGGCTGCCAAGAAATGAGAAAACAAAATATCTTTTTCAATGCTTGTAGGTTAATTTTATTTGATATATTTGTATTATCACATACACCAATAATTCATTGTTTTTATAAAATAATCTTATATTAATATTTTCGCCTAATTTTGATCTGAGCTTTGATGGTGTTATGCTCATAAATTTTGGTGTAATATACAAATTTTAAATTGAGAAAGTATATGTGGCTTTTAATGTTACATCTTTTACTTAATTATTGATCAAATTCCTGAATTTTAATTTAGAACGACTAAGTCTTTATACAAATTTTTAACAAGAAACAGCATAGTCTTATATTTTTTTGATTCAGTACAATTCAATTAATCTTTATAATAATTTCTTAACTCAATAAATCATAAGTACAAAATTGATAATTGAGAGAAATTTTTTAGAGACTAATAGATATTTTATTCCTTCTGAATTTTACACTTTGATTAAAAAACGTGATGAAATAATTTCTAGTTGAGATTAGAGGATGTATATAACAATCTCCTTTAATTATACAATACCACATTATCAAGTTAAGAAAAACATTATTCTTTCTATATATAAAATTATGAAGATATTTATCTTGCATCTTATGAAAATATTACTTATCTATTTAACCCACGAAAAAAATTCTTTTGGCCACACCATGAAAATGATTAATTAATAACATCCATTGCAATGGTTTATTCCTGATCATATAATTTTACATTTAAGAAATTATAAAATCTCAAGTAAAAAGGTATAAATATTAAGCATTAAGAATTACATGCAAAAAGTAAACTCTTGAATATGAAATGCACAAGAATTCAAGTGCATGCAGTGTAAGTTTGTAAATTAAGGATATGAAATTATAATTAATAAATAAATTGTTTCTCATTCATCAATCGTCCTTTCTATGACGGTACTTAAACGAAAAGGTAAAATTAGTATTATTAGGAGGATAAATAAAAAAAAAGGTTACTATTCTGTCAACAGCAAAAAAAAAAAAAAACAAAACAAATGATTCCTTGAAACGTGATCCACACACACACAACAAGTTTCATCGCACATCATGATGCTTATTTAACAGTATTCTAAATATTCTATTAAGAGTTGGTGTTTGGTTTGTAATAATTTAGATAACTAATAAGAGAAGGTCAGTCTTTTTTAAATTTAAAATAACTCCTTTTTTGTTATATTAATAAAGTAATTCAATTTGCGTTATTTTCAGTTTAAAACTCATATATCTCTAAATATATGCGTCCATTTCCACTTTAATTAATTATACTTAATTTAGACTGAGAAGAATATATCTTATAATTAATAAAAATCCTAACTAATCATTAAGTTGATATAAACAATTTCAAGTGGCTGATTATGAGCACAAATTAAATAATAAAATTTATATATATTTATTATTTTTCTCATAAAAGACTTATAAAATAAATTATCCGTTTTTTCTGGATAATTATTGGCAAAAAAACGTAACTCCTCCATTTTTCTAATTTCATTAGACAACTAATTTATTGTTAAGCGTGACAATAACATGTTTGGCTAATTCAGTAACTAATTTGACTTTACAAACGTGTCACATAAGTGAATTACTTTGCTTGCTTGGAAGGATTCACAAACATCGAAAATCGAAAAGTAATACTATATAATTCACAAAATAAAAAAGCTCTCTATTATTATTTTTATTTGAATCTCGAAAAGCAAGCTCGAGTTCTTCAATAAGTGATTGAATCTCGAGTTGGTTATTTAGGATTTAAATTAACCAGTCAAACATTTTGATAGTTTATATCTTTTTTAATTAAATTTATAAAATTACATGTTATATAAATTAAATTGCATATACATACATAAATTTTGAAACATGATCAAACATCTCAATTAAGGATCAATTAATCAAAAATTCAAATCAAGAAGGTCCACAGATTTAGAAAAATGCATCTCCGAAAGGTTTTGATTTTTCTTCCTATATGTCAGCTCTTTGAAAAATCGAATATATGATGATAATGACAAAAATGTTACAATTCTGAAGATTATATATTGCATTTCTCTTCGCCAACTGATGGATGATTTGTCGTTGGCCAAAAAGGAAAAAATGACGGATTTGTCACGTTATAAATTATAATGACAACAACAATAATAAATAGAGATATGTATTTTTTAATGTCAAAAAAGTAGATTCTGATATATGCGTTCATGATAATATTCCAATTCAAATAATTGAAATTATATATGCCAGAAAATATATATATATATATATATATATTATATTTCATAACAACAAACGTGTGGATAAGTGGTGTTTAAATTATTTAATTATGAACAAATTAAAATTAGGAAGACCGAGAGAAATTTCCTGGAAGGAGAAGTAAGGGGTTAATTAAGTAATTAAACTAAGGTGATTCATGCCATAGATTTGTTCCAATTTTAAAAAGAAAAAAAATCAAATGTATTAGGTATATTAAAGTCAAGTCAATAAATACTACTGGCGAAATGGGAACATCATAGGAATAATAATGGAAGTTCTATGTCGAGTTTTATTTTTTTTAACCCCCACCTTGAAAAAAGATTACTATATTAAAATGTTCTTTATACAAAAATTTTAAAAAAACTTTTCGTGTGATTGATATTTAAATTAGTGTGGCTCTTCTTTCTTCCAAAAATGAAAAAAAGTACAATTGGGGATCAAGTTTTAAAATATAAGTCTTACCCGTATACAATTAGTTGAGAAATCAACTTTGTAAATAATGAAGAATTTTAAATAAGTAAGAAAACGTAAAACGTGGCAATGACTTTTGTTTTGAAAATAATTAAGACTTTTATTAATATTTGTTAACTTCATTTTTAAAAAAAGATTTGGTAAATTTGCTGAATTCAACCCGGTGAATGAGTGGTTGGAAGCCGACAAGAAAACTTTCGAAGAATTCCAAAAGGAAGTAAAAATACTAAGGAATGGTAAAGGGAGCCAGAGAAGATACAAAAGTTACAGAGAATGTAGAATTTTCTCTCAACACGCGTGTTAGGTAGGAATGGAAGAGAAGAAAAATGAGTTTTAATTAATATGAAATATAAAATTTATAATTGATGGAAATTGTGCTTAAATTTCATGCAATATATAGTTTTTTTTTTTTGCTTTCTTTATTTTCCTAGATTGTATGCACAGGCGTTCGTTTCTTTTGTTTTTTCTGATGATTAGTGTGTGTAATATTGTTTTTTTTTGGTGATTAATAAAATGACCTGTTTTTGCTAAAAAAAAATCTCAAGCCAAAAAAAAAAACAGGTCTACATCTTCTGAATTTTTGGCGTGTGGCTTTTCTGTTAAACTTTTTGTTGCAAATATACTTTTGCGTGCATAGAGAGACACAGAGAAGATATATACTCCCATCGTCAAAAAATATAAAAATTTATTAACTGAATTTCATTCCTTAATAAAATAATTACTTACTTTTTAATTAATTTTATCTTTTTATATTTATCTTTATTAAACACCCTACAATAAATACAAAATCATTATTAATAGGAACACTTTTTAAAAAAGGTAATAATTATACCTCAAAAGATTAAAAATATCTTATATTTTTTAATATTCAACTTCTTAAAAAATGCTTTATATTTTTGAACAGAGAGAGTATTATTTAATGATACTGAAGCATTATGCCTTTAAATACAAAGCATTCAAATAAAAAAAATACAAAGTATTATTTTTCCCAAAAAAATTACAAAGTACTTCCTCCATCTCAAATCATAAGATATTTTTAGATAAAATCTCACAGATCGATAAATTTTATTAAATACACTTAACAACCTTATCTTTTCAAAATAAAAATATGAACTTGTCAAAATACTCATCATTTAATATATTGAAAAGAAAATGAATAAAAATTAATTTTAGAGAGAGAAAAGATAATATTAAAATTAGTGTATTTAATGAAATCTTAATCTATTTAAAGTATCTTATATTTTAAAATAGATGAAAAAACTCCTTTAAAAGTGTTTTATAATTTAGAAAAGAGGGAGTATTATGTAAAATTAGCCGATTCCAATGTTTTAAAATGATATATACCATTAACTGCATCACTTTTTATTTGAGTTTATTTTAGAACTCGTCTCATTCACTATTTTATGTACTGACGTGTTGTTTATTTATACTGAAATAGCGAATTGGGCCTTAATAGTTCATCAAGATAAAAACATGTATCATGAATCATGACTCAACACACACTTAATTACAAAAAGACTAATATATTACTTAATTAGCAATAATGTCTTCACATTATCATATAAAAGAATTCGAAGAAGTCACATTTTTATAGGATATAAATAATGTAAAAATATAAATAATTAGTTACATATTTATTAATTAGATCAAATTTTATGGGCTAGTTGTGCCTCTTTTCTCTATCCAAGCTTTATCTTGTGCATGATATGAGTGAATTGTTATTAACCATAGAAACATTGTGCTTAATTAGTGCTCATTAAACATTTTTATTTAACCAGTGACAAAATAATCTAAAAACTAGTAATGTTTGTTCATTGAATTCTAAAGTGACAATTATCTTGAAACAAAGTTAAAACCTAAAACATTTTCGAACCTTAGGGAGTAGTAATAGAAACTAAAAAAAAAAAAAATATTACAAAGAAATTACTCTTGCGATATGTCTAATACATAGAAATGCCCTTCTCAGAATGGAAATGAAGAGGGAAAAGACTTTTATATATTTAGTATATTAAAAATGGGTGATATAATTTCTAACTAGTATTAAGAAAATATGTTTTCAGGAAAGCTCTTTTCCCATGCTTATTTTTATTCAAATTCTTATTCTCATTCTTACTTTATACCACATATAATATAGCGTTATACGTGCAATATGAATTATTGGAAACAAATACTTGAAAACTTTTCCTTTTATAAATTCTTAATTCTAATACTACATTGCACTTGAAAACTCACACCCTCATCTTTTAAATATATAACCATTTCAAATGCTAATTAATTTGCACGTACTAGCAAGGGAATATTGGTTAGACTCAGCTTTTGTTATTAAATATATTCCAAAAACAAAAACTAACTTTATAGTTTTAAGACCGGTTTAATTAGTAACCAATTCATAAAATTTAATGGACACACTAGT